TATAGGAAAGGGGCAAAGCTGTGTGGAAAAGTTGCCTGTGGCCTGGGAAAATGCACCTTGTGTTTTGGTTCAGATGGATGCCTACGATCTCTCCACCTTTCCTGGTTCTCACGGAGAGGAAACTAAACTTAGCAATCCAGTTCTGTGGGAAGGAACCGGGGCAAGGAGTGGAGGATAAACTAAAGGACAAAGGTCAACTTTAGAAAGCTGTTCTACCAGATCTTGCTCAGAAAGCTATTCAGGTATACAGAGACTGAGAAGAAAAGGAGATAGGTGGGATTAGCAGAATGAAAAACTTTAAAAGCCTAATGATAAAAAAAATCTAGGGGGCCAAGAGAAGGAAGAATAAAGCAAGAATTCCTGTAGTGTTTTTTGTTTTTAGCATAAGTCAGGATTCATCTCCCATTCTCCTTGTCTGATTCCTATTTAAAAATTTAAAGAATAAAATGCAATTTGGAGATGATCCCCTGTGTAATGTTTTTGAAGATTTTGCTTCCCTTTTAACCTCCCATTCTCCCTTATTAGGACGTGTGTCCTAAACAAATAACTAAGTAAAAAGAAATATATCTCTGTTCATTTTGACATGGAATAAAGCTATAAAGCCAATCCATTAAATTACTTTTCTTTTTAAAATGTCTTGTTTTGAGAAAGGAGATAGTTTGGTCACAGGAAGAAATTCTAGTCCATGATTCTTTGAAAAAGGGGAATATAAGAATTCTTTCCCTTATTCAGTCTTCTACCACCTACAGGGGGTCCAGTTCTTAAAGGGTACTTTACAAAAGAAGATTGTGATTTCAAAGCAAAATGGATTTGAAAAAATATACCTTGATGTTCAGAATGTAATGTGGAAAGGCAAAAAGAATGTTTCCCAACCTGAAAGCACACTTCACTGAGAGGCTTACCTTTTAATTGCCCAGTTTATGGCAAATGTGAGCTGCATTTTATGAAACCAAAGTGTGAAACTCCTTTAATGTCCTGTTGTCAGGTATTCCTGACAGTATACATCTGAATTTTAAGGGCTGTAATGGTTGGACATCAGTTGTAAAAGTTTTCTCTTACGTCTTTAAACTAACAAACTTTTAAAAGAGACCTCATTATCAATCTGGAATATTCTAAAGATTGTATGAAGTTGATGGATATATTTTATCTTAAACTATTTGGTGGTTGTTGGAGAATGTACATTTTATTGTACATTCAAATTAGAATTTTGTCATTTCCTTTTTTTATTTATCTCTAAAAACACTTTCTTCTTATGTTCAAGCTCTGATATATATTTATGTATTCATCCATAAATGTTGATATATATTTGTACACACACATGTGAGCTTAAAATAAGTATTTTACTGATGCTTCTTGAAATGACAGTATTTTATTAAGAAGGAAATATGTTCATGTAAGTTCACATAAAATCTAAAGTTCTTTTTTTGGTTCAGTGTTTAGAAAATTCTTGATAATTTAGAATCTTCCACAATGGAAAGTAAAGCGTTCTGTCACAAAAGCAGGGAGGATGAGACACGAGGTCAAAGGGCATTTTAGAAACAAACAGCTGGGCCAGTTTATTTAAACAGATACAGGGATGGGGGAACTGACCTCTGTTTGACTTATAGTGGGAGGAGCAAGAATGTCATTTTATTACTTTGCCCAGAAGGAAAATGTTTTTGTATCTGAATTCACCCCGAAGCCATCTAAACACATGGCTTTGCTGTACGTAGCTTACTTCCAAAGAGAGTACATATAAGATAGTCTAGGATAATGATAAAATACACTAAAGAGAGGCAAATGTTCAGATGGTTTTAAGATCAAAGAGATCATGTTTTAAAAAAGAAAATATTTGGCTATTAGTGATTTTTAGGTAAAGATATCTGTCATGACCCCAGATAATAGTGTATTTCATATAAGTATAGGAATTGTAATCTGGTAACATTCTGAGAGTTTATGATGTCCTGTATGAGCTGATAAGTTTTCAAAAATGAGAAGTTCCAAGTTTGTAGTTTAGACAAAGTGATTAGGTGTTCTTGGGTTTTCAATGTTTTATTATTTTTATTTTATTTAATGAAATATCTTCATATCTACATAACCTAACGGTAGCTTACATCGGTGCTGTCAGTAATAGCAACTGGTTATTGCCACCAAAAGAAAAGCAACAGTACCTAGTACCTGGGGGCCCTTAGTTGCGAGGCTGTGGTGAGGTGTTTACTTGCTACCTGGGGACCAGAGCAGGGCTAGAGTAACGTTATGTAGTGTTGTCCACTGAATACCTTCAGAGGCACACAGACAAACCTCAGCATAGTGAGCAGAGCGTGGCCCAAATGATGAATGGACTCAACATCCGAGAACAACTCACATCCTAGAATGGCATTGTTAACAATCACAGAGGTGTAACCTGGGGAGAAGAAGGGAGAAGCCAATGGAGCATGATGGCTATGGTTTAAAAATTTGAAAGCAATCCTGAAGAAGTAATATTTAAATTGTTTAAATTACCCCAAGAAGTTGTCCTGGTGAAAGCACTTTAGATCCAGTGAGGCAGAAGCTGCTGACAGTTGCCTGGTCTATAGAATGAGTGGGCTCTCAGGTAAGGTGGCAAGTATTGTATTAGAAACAGCCCAGCAGAGGTTACCCCTCCTGATACCCATTACATGGGGATATCAGAGAATGAAAGCAAGTCAGTGATCAAGCTAGGTGACCATTAAAGCCCCTTCCAAAACCGAGGTGTGATTTTTCTATCATTCCTTGGGTTTAACAGCCATGGATTCAAACTTGAGTTGATTAATATGAATTGGTCTTTGGGAATCTGAATATACAGATGTGAAAGAGGCAAGCTATGGAATATAGATAACTCAAGCCACCAAATCTTATTCATAGTTTTATCTTTGTCTATATACACTAGCAATACAGTCATCAAAATCCCCAATCTACAAAACGTTCAGTCATGCTTATTGTTGGAATCAACGATCGAGTTGTTGCCAGTGTTGATTGGCTCAAAACCAGCTCATTAAAAAATATCTATGTACTTCAGAATATTCTAGATGGGTGGCACAGTAGTGGACATGCTCTGCTTAGGACATTAGAGAGGGGGTACTTGATACTATTGGCCAGCTGTCTGTCACTCAGCAAATTATTAACATCTCTTGGGTAACATGTGACCTCAAATAAGTCACTTAATTCATCAGAGCTGTGGCTTCTCGTTTGTTAAAAAGTGCTCTTCCTATTTTTAGATAAATAGTATAAATCATATCCACAAAATATTATGTTTTTAAAAGGACTTTTAAAAATGTTACCAGAGTTCCTTCACTCTAAGAGCCTGCAGACTATGAACAGTAGCAGTAGATAAAGAGTTGATTTTTGGTCTCTTTACCTAGATTAGTTACTATGAAAATTACTTTTGGTATATGCAGAAAATTAATATTAAATAATTTTCTAATTGGTCATGCAGTGAAGGCAGATAATGAAAAGGCAGAATTTTTTTTCATTTTAATTGGTTATTTCACATGGTGTTTGTGCTACACCTGTGCTTATAATGAGAATGGAGAATTAATCTAACCTTCTGCTCACATGATTCCAATTTTCATGGTTTATACAAGATAATGATAACCTGATTTGCAACACAATTTGTTTTAGATCTGTGCTTTAAATATTTTTATTAGCAGTTCAGGGACTTCATATACAAGAACTGATATAATAAGTGTTGCCAATAAGAGTTAGCACTAACAGTGTCCTTTTAGTTAGATTCCACTGTCATTATTATTTTAATTACTTCTCAGATATTGGAAAGATATAGGAATGTAAGATATTGAGAATCTTCAAATGTCATGGAGTTTTCATTTTTATTTTAAAAACCTGTCCCTGTCTGTTTAATGGCTTGTTTTTGGGGAATTATTTTCCTACCTGGAGAGGGGAGACTTACAAACTAGAATTCATACTGGACTGTGGATCCTTTAATTATTAATAGTGAATAATCGAAATTTTTTACTGTATTTTTATGTGCGGCTCATGTTCAATATATTCAAATCTGAATTGAATTGAGAACTAAAAGCACTTTACTATTTCAGAATCTACTCTGTCCTGTTCATTTCCTGTATTTGATATGTAAGTCTTAGTACTAGGCAGTACATACGGATCTTAAGAGTTAGCAATTTCATGAGCATGACTTTGGAGAGCTTGTACTAACCACTTTTTTATTTTTCCAGTGGCTAATCACTTTTGTATGGGCAACAAAAGTTGTATAAAGTAAATCTTATTAAGACACTTAAGTGACTTAAATATCTTAATAAGAGGTTTATTATAAATTTTCAGGTTTAGCTGGAGAAAGCAAGATTATAAGTTCAATTACTGTATAGCTGTGACCTCGCCTTGACCTCAGACTTTACATAAAGAGAGAAAAAAAAGCCACCCCAAGAAATCTCTAAAAGGAATGCGTTTCTCTGAAGTCCCCAGCAGTGTGAGTTAGTGGTGATAAACTCCAGACATTCTCTCATTTGATGGTGTGCTGCCATCCCAGTTCATTATCTTAATAGTGGGCATTAAAATAGAATTAGGTTTGCAAGAGGTAGGGAAGGTTTCGATAAAAATTGTAAAAAAGAAGTCGGAGAACGTAAGAATGAAATGTCACTAATTAGAAGAGGGAACGGATGCCCTTATGGACATCTCGCGCTCCCCAGCAAATATCCCCCCCTTGCAATTGAAAAGAGTGGTGGCTGGTATTGTTTCCTGAAAATTCTGCTAATTCCCCCATGAAAAGATGAAATGGAAGTGTCCAACTGTGGTAAAACAGGCAAACATAAATCAACTCAGAAACCCCAAGCCTGTGTACTCAAAGGTCACTGGGGGTTACAGGTTTTGCAGCATTTGAAACTGCACAGTGAGCAGGGGAGAGCCACTCCGCCAAGACCTAGCTTTGCTCTTACTGTGATCCATCTTCTCTTCCTCCACCTCCCCCCACCGCTTTTTGGGTTTTGTTTTGTTTTAAGGAATAATGATTTGCTCTACTTTCTTGGTTACAGGTTTATTAATGCCCGGAGAAGAATAGTGCAGCCCATGATAGACCAGTCCAACCGAGCAGGCAAGTCCCCCATAGTGACTGTATTCAAGTCACGCAAGCGAAAACCATCCTCAAGCCATTCACCGGGAGGTCCGATACCTGGTAAATAAACTGGGAGTGAGTGCTAGGAGCGCCTGGCAATTAAAATGAAACCGGTTTAGTTTCATAACAACACTAATCAATTTAACATCATTATAAAAACGTTTGGAGAAGGTGGAAAAAAAGAAAAGTAGCTCTTAAGTCATTACAATGCTCAGCTACAATATTCTTTGTACACATTCAATCTATTAATGTTATTTTTTTTTTCTGAGTTTGCCTTCCCAGCTCTTTCTGCTACTATGGCCACTCCCTGGTGCATGGCTTGGTGTGGAATTGCTGTAAACTTTATTACCTGTCAAAAGGGCAAAGGGGTCAGGATCGCTTGTGGGACTCAGTAAAGTTCAAAGACATTCAATGAGGTAGAGCTTTTGTGTGCTTTAATAACCCAAGGCAGCTTACTTCTGAAGCAGCTTTTCATGTACAGTTAAAACATGGGATTCAGGTAGTGGTATAAATACACGATTCCTTTTCTCAGGCCTTCTCCTGTTAATATTCATCTTCTGGTGTTCAACTTTTTAAAAAATAGCTTTCTGTGTTTTCATCAGAGCTTAAAATGGTAATACGTCTATGGGATCACAACTTGCAGATCTAAAAATCCAAGAAACATCTTTCTAGGATTTGTTTTTGTATTGTAATATACCAATGAGATTAACAACAGTATCTACTAGGGGCTGATGTGAATCTATACTTTCTTTACAAAACTCTCTCTCATCTCATAGAGAGCACGATGAAAAACGGTGGTAAACACCACATTGAGTCACTACATATTTAGTCATATTCCCATAATTCTTTTTTCCTTTCAACAACTATTGTGTGATCGCCAGACAAAAACCCAAACATGAACTTTCTGTATCTTCACTATTCTTTGAACAGTGTTTTAAAACTTGGTCACAGGTATGTAGAGCTGAAATTTAACTTGGAGTGTTTTAAAATTTTATCTGCCTGGTATGTTCTCTTTGTCTCTCTCTCTCTCTCTCTCTCTGGCTATTCTATCTTGGAGACTGTTATTAAGAACCTGTGTTCTGCACTTTTGTAGTAAGTCAAGGAACACCTTATAACCCCGATGGACAGCCAATGGGAGGTTTCGTAATGGACGGTCAGCAACACATGGGCATCAGGGCACCAGGTAAGACTGTTTTGTGGTTGCTTCTCATTTGTAACTCCAAGAGTGTCACCCCCCACCAGCCCAGGTAAAGTCACTTCATCCTTTGCTATTATCTCAAGCTGCCTGCCTTGCCTGCCATCTGTGCATCTAAGATATTGCAGAGGGGAAGCCAGGATCTTTACGCACTGAAGATCTCACTGTTTCTCAACCCTCTGGAACCTGTTTTTTTTTTAAGGGTCTTTTGGCACTATCTGTTGACTTTGCTCATTTTCTGGCCTCTTCTTGGATTTTTATCTCCCTTCTAGGACCTATGAGTGGAATGGGCATGAATATGGGCATGGAGGGGCAGTGGCACTACATGTAACCTTCATCTAGTTAACCAATCGCAAAGCCAGGGGGAAGTAAGTACAAATGGGGTCTTTGTTTTCACTTTGTCCTAGGAATATTTTTCCTCTTGCATTTTCTTACGTTCTCCTTGCCCATAGCTTCATGCTTGTTCATTCCTTTCCATTAAACTCCTGGTTTCTTGCTTCCTTCATTTTCTCCTTGGTTGCGATCAAGCTTTTAAGCTTATAAATGCTGTGTATGATGTACATTTATCCTGTGTGTTGCTATTATACAGTACTGACCACATGACAAAATAAGAAACAGTCAGGAGGTGGGGGAGTGGGTTGTCATAGCAACAGACTGATTTGCAAAATGTAAGCAGTCTGCAGCAGTGCAAGGAGAGGAAAGAGCATGTCCCCAAAGTGTCATAAATCTGTCTAACCGCAGTTGATGCATGAGTTACATTTCTACACTAACCTGCAAGACACTGCAAAGCCAAACAGAGACTTCTTTTAGGGACATAAACACTAGCTTTCCTTAGGGTAAGTAAAGGCATATTTTGAGCTTCAGTCAACTAAACTTTGATTTTTTTTTCTTAGTTTATTCCTTTGTCTGTCCATCATAATGGGATTACGTGTGGCAATGGAAAAAGGGAGAATACAAAATAGAGGTGTGCACAGCAGGCTGCAGGGCTTAGCCCAGGCTAATTGACTATATCCAAATTAAGTATGCCATCACTTGCAGTGTGACAAATGGATTTGACTTATTCAGTATACAAAAATAGAGATCATTAATGCAATCTTCAGTGGCAGGCCTAGTGAAGTGGGCCTAGGAAAACTGTCCCAGATTCTCGCTCTTGCATTTTCTCCCCGAAAAAGACACTCCAGCCATTCGTGTTCAAACAAGTAAGACTGTTTTGAACACCGAAGCTCTTGTTCACTTCCTAAATTACCCCTAATAGCATTGCTCTAGTTTTGTTTCCGAAATTAAAAGCAGTTAAGTCCAAGTCTTGGTTGTATCTCTGATTATATTAACACACTATTTAAAAGCACTGCTGAGGCCAAGGATAATTCGTATTGGTCTTCCTCTCCGGGTGTGAGTCAAATATAAGTTTAACAATTAGCTCCCGAAAACATTCCATTGAGCTCGGGAATGCAACAGTCTTATTACCTCATCATGGAATTCTCTGGCTTAGTTAATTTAAATATTGTTTCTTAGTTTCTGGGTCAATTAAATTTAAATGATGTATTTTATGCTTCGTGACCAATTAAATTAATAGGTTATTACAAAAAATATTATCATCTTTTTTGATTAAAGAGCTGTGGGTACAGTATATTTTATAAGCAATTTTCATTAGTTCAAAAATGTTCCTTTAGGCTAGATTAAGCAGCCATTCATTGCTAGAGCCTGGAGACCTTATTCGAAGGTGTTCATCGCATTCACAGTGCACTATTACTTAGAACTAAAGCCAATTGAACCTACTTAGCAATAGTGTTATGCCTTTCACCCTTGATGATTATGGAGCTTATAGCTCTCAGAAACAATACACCTGTCAGTTTCCATCAACTATAGCAACCCATGCAGAAGACAAGAGGCCCCTCAAAGCAGGAGGGGTATTGTTTTAGGTCCAATTTTTCTTATTGTTCTCAAAATCATTGTAAGGTGGACAGGGTTTTGTGAAAGCTTTCTTTCCCCTAGCTCCAAGAAACCATGAGGAAGGAATTCATTGATAACTGTTATTGTTTTGTTTTGTTTCCATTTCTAAAAGTACAGGTTTAGCCAAGTAATCAGCCTTAATGAGAGCCTGTCCAGTTAGAGTCTGTCCAGTTAGTTGCCTGCGAGATGTTTCGTGACCAGTGTGGGGTCCTCTTGTATTCTTGGTAGAGAATGTTTTCAGGGAACAAAAGTGCTTCTTCAGACCAGACCTCAAATAACAGTTTTATTTTTTTTAAATAAATAAGACCTCAGTAGGTTGACCTGATCACAGTGACAATTAAAGGAAAATAGTCGAAAAAAATGCGAGTTTCCAGCAAAACATCTCTCATTTTATTTTCTTCTGTATGAATCAAAAGAATACTTTACAGAGCCATGTTCCCTTAATCACAATGTCCCCTGGTTTTTGTAGGATTGCCATAGCCAGAACCACACTATTGCTTTTTCATAATATTTTCTTTTTGTTTTTTTTCTTTTGAATTTCTACAGGGCTGCAAAGTATGCCAGGGGAATATGTAGCCCGGGGTGGTCCAATGGGTGTGAGTATGGGACAGCCAAGTTATACCCAACCCCAGATGCCCCCCCATCCTGCTCAGCTGCGTCATGGGCCCCCCATGCATACGTACATTCCTGGACACCCTCACCACCCAACAGTGATGATGCATGGAGGACCGCCCCACCCTGGAATGCCAATGTCAGCATCAAGCCCCACGGTTCTTAATACAGGAGACCCAACAATGAGTGGACAAGTCATGGACATTCATGCTCAGTAGCTTAAGGGAATATGCATTGTCTGCAACGGTGACTGATTTCAAATCATGTTTTTTTCTGCAATGACTGTGGAGTTCCATTCTTGGCATCTACTTTGGACCAAGGAGCATCCCTAATTCTTCATAGGGACTCTTAAAAAGCAGGAAATACCAACCGAAGTCAATTTGGGGGACATGCTAAATAACTATATAAGACATTAAGAGAACAAAGAGTGAAATATTGTAAATGCTATTATACTGTTATCCATATTACGTTGTTTCTTATAGATTTTTTAAGAAAAATGTGAAATTTTTCCACACTATGTGTGTTGTTTCCATAGCTCTTCACTTCCTCCAGAAGCCTCCTTACATTAAAAAGCCTTACAGTTATCCTGCAAGGGACAGGAAGGTCTGATTTGCAGGATTTTTAGAGCATTAAAATCACTATCAGGCAGAAGAATCTTTCTTCTCGCCTAGGATTTCAGCCATGCGCGTTCTCTCTCTCTCTCTCTCTCTCTCTCTCTCTCTCTCTCTCTCTCTCTCTCTCTCTCTCCTTCTCTCTAGCCTGGGGCTTGAATTTGCATGTCTAATTCATTTACTCACCATATTTGAATTGGCCTGAACAGATGTAAATCGGGAAGGATGGGAAAAACTGCAGTCATCAACAATGATTAATCAGCTGTTGCAGGCAGTGTCTTAAGGAGACTGGTAGGAGGAGGCATGGAAACCGAAAGGCCGTGTGTTTAGAAGCCTAATTGTCACATCAAGCATCATTGTCCCCATGCAACAACCACCACCTTATACATCACTTCCTGTTTTATGCAGCTCAAAAACATAGACTGAAGATTTATTTTTAATATGTTGACTTTATTTCTGAGCAAAGCATCGGTCATGTGTGTATTTTTCCATAGTCCCACCTTGGAGCATTTATGTAGACATTGTAAATAAATTTTGTGCAAAAAGGACTGGAAAAATGAACTGTATTATTGCAATTTTTTTTTGTAAAAGTAGCAGTTTGGTATGAGTTGGCATGCATACAAGATTTACTAAGTGGGATAAGCTAATTATACTTTTTGTTGTGGATAAACAAATGCTTGTTGATAGCTTTTTTCTATCAAGAAACCAAGGAGCTAATTATTAATAACAATCATTGCACACTGAGTCTTAGCGTTTCTGACGGAAACAGTTTGGATTGTATAATAACGCCAAGCCCAGTTGTAGTCGTTTGAGTGCAGTAATGAAATCTGAATCTAAAATAAAAACAAGATTATTTTTGTCATGCTGACTCCACTGCTTGAAAAATGTGTTTACTGCCCTCCCAAAAAAAATTTTTGATGATCAATGCAGTAAATATAAAAATTAATTTTGGCTCCCTGAGATATACACGTATTTGAAAAATTTTAACTACAAAGTAAATTATTTAATAATAGTTACTGATTTCTTTAAGCTGACTTAATGAACTCCTAATATCAGCAAATTTAAGGCCTAAGGGCACTAACCTAACTGTAGACTCAGAGTACAAGCAACAGAATTACTCATCAAATATCAGTGAAATTATTCTTGCACATAATGGCAAACCAAGTACAGAGTTAAGTCTTTTACTAAGGATGTTACCTAGGATGAGCAGTAGATGTTTATTAGGAAATTAACGACGTGAATTGAAGAGGCCAGACTTCAAAATCTAATTTTTATAGATATGCTCTATGTTCTCATTGGGTAAAACTGGTTATTAACTAATTTTCCAGAACAGCTGTACAGAATTTCTGCATGGCAGCCAGCTAAATGGTACAAAATAACATGTTTAAGCTGGAATAGCTTATAATTTTATTTAAATAAAATTGCTGCTATAAAAGTGCTTCCCAAAGCTAAGGAAAATACACAAATATTTTAATTAGGGCAAATTCGTTTTTAAAAATCAGCCTTGAAGCAGTGATTGCTTTGTAAACAAAGGATGGGTTGGAGGAGAGCGCCTTAAACTCAAGCCTGACATTCAGGCCCGTGCCACTCTATAAACCCGCCCTGAACAATTCTATTTTCTATTTGAAAAGGGAAACCAGCTGTGGGTTGGCTTTACTAGGTGACGTGTGATTGACTGACTCACCTGCGGGAGCAGCAGTGCGCACTCTCACCTTTTGTTTATGGGGCCTTGTGTCTAAACACGTGGACGCGCGGATGGAGAGTCTGACTCAGCCTTCACAGCACCCACCCCTCCCCTCCTCCCCGCGCAGCGCCCTCCACTCCACCCCGCCCCCACCCCATATATGGAATTGTTTAAATTTCCCTTTGGGCCCGGTGGCAATTCTTCTACATAAATAGTCCATATTAGTGAAATACTTCTCTTTTGATAGGTGGTTACTAGCCGTTAACAACCATTTATTTACTTTAAAAATGAATAACAAACTTTATAAACTAACCATCCATGTGCCCCTCCTCCCCAGTACATGCCTGGGTAAGTTGGTTATTTTCTGCCTTTATTCTGGAGGAAGCTCTTGCCGGGTGGGGGAGGGAAAGGAACGGGAGGAGGTAGGGAGGGAGGGCAGAAGGGAGAGAGAGAGAGAGAGAGAGAGAGAGAGAATGCGCGCAGAAGGTACACGTGAAGAGGAATTAGGGAATATGGAGGCTATGAAAATCAAGATCATTATTGTCCAGTGAATTAGAAAAAAAATAAAACAAAACTGTGTTCTTTCCCTGCGTTCCCCCCTCCGTGTGATGGTTTTGTGATAGTCTTGTTCTCTGTGGGTCCCTTTTCCCTGCATCGACACCCCCCCCCTTATTGCTATTTCAGCTCTTCCTCTTGTAAATTTCAGAGCCAGCTCTGAGGCGGTGGAGGACACTTATTCGAAAGAGCGAAATAATAGAGGTGCTGAGAGTATTTTTGCTGTTTCTTAAAAGGGAAAAACAAAACGCCCTCTTCTAAACAAGGGCACACAACTGTACCTGCTTTTTATTTTTATTTGGGGGGGGAGGGGCACTGGCTGAAGGAGACTACTTTCTAGTGTGATTTAAATATTTTGCGAAAAATCAAAAATATTTTACCCTATCATATTTAATCAGTTGTAATTATAACACATTCAAAATGAATAATACGTCTTGACAGTATTTTTATTGTTATTGTTCCTCGCATGATGTTCGACTGCTTTAGAAGCACAGGAAAGAGAAGTAAACGCGCTACAAATGGGGAATTACCCTCGTTTAGCATTAAAATTCATTTAGATAAAATTGCCACAAACATTTAAATGGGAAGATTAGTTCCCCCTCACGCCTTATTGCACTCGCTCAATGGTTCCGTTAAAGAACATTTTACACGTTGGAAAATTCCGTCTTCTCAGACGGCTTGCTGTTTCCTAGTTACCCACATTCAAAGCAAAGGCAGCAGCAAAGGCAGCCGCAGCAGCAGCAGCAGCAGCAGCAGCAGGAGAAAAAAAAAAAAAAAGTTTTGGCAACTGGGTCTGCAATTTCATCCGCTGCCGGCCCCAGGCTCCCCCCCCCCCCAAAAAAAAAAAAAAGGGAAAGGTTTGTGCCCCCCTTTTTTTTAAAAAAAAATACCCCCCCCCCGGGAGTGGCCCCACGGCGAGACG